GTGAAATGATCTCTGTACTTCGGAGATGTCACCTGGAGGTTGGCGACCCTATTAAATGGAGTTGTGAGACTGGATGCAAGAAATGCTTTCCAAAGAGATTAGAACCAGTGTAAACAACTTGTCATCCAGCCTCAACTTGCCAACTAGCCTTCATTTAGTGCCATTATCAAGTAATTGTAAATTCCAACAAACAAATTGTAAATTCCAACAAACAAAGTTGCTTTAAACCCCCAAAAATCGTTCCACCAATTGTTTCACCCATTCTCTTCCTAGCCGCTTTCTTCTCTTGTTTGGATACATTTACAGGGGGATTTTTTTTAAAACAGAGGTCTTCACTGTTTTTATGATTGAAAATACGCATACTCACATTTTGTTTCTTATCTTCGTTACTGTATGTTATGTTGTAAGTCCATTCATCTCTAAAAGGATGATCGTGACTGTAGCAACACATGGCAGCCATGTTTGCTCCATTCCCTGCTCCTACTTCAAGACAAAACAATTCCCTCTCCACTTACTGCTGTTTGCGGGGGTAACCAAACAAGTCTCCTGCACCTGACCTCCCTCCGAGAGGTTCGGTGGAGCCCCAGCACAGTCACGTGGACCCAGTGGGCTCCAAAAGAGGCAAGAAAGGACGGGGATATTCGGGAGCGTCCCAAAAATCACCCATGGCATTGCAGTGTTACCCGTAAGTTCAATCACACTCTTCTTCCTGATCAGTTACCAGCTCAAGGTTTCATTATTTATGGCCACTTCTGATTTTTATTTTATTTTTTCTTGAAGTTTTGAAATATGGTTGCCTCCAGGGGCGCCTGGCACTTTCCCAGAATTACAACTGATCTCCAGTCTAATACCAAAGTTAAACTTTATATGCCGTTATATATACACATTTTGTTGTTGTTCAATCACACAGTCGAGTCCGACTCTTCGCGACCCCATGGATATATACACATACAACACTCAAAATGTTTTTAACAATCTGTTTTAACAAATCTCCACCCTTAGGTGGTTCTGGAGAGTGCATCTGCAATGACATTCTCCTTCCCTTCTATGTACACTATAAAAAAGCTGTAATCCTATAATTGAAGACTCCACCTTATCAGTTTACTGTATGTACTCTTCAACTGGTTTAACCAGTTTCTGTTGGAAACTCTGCGGGAAGACAGCGACTTACTATCATACATGGTGGTCATGTAGATTCATTTCTAAATTTTGGTCTCAAGTTCGATCTCAAATTTTGATTCTTACTGGTTGTGATGTTCCTTTAGATCCTCGATTGATGTTACTAAATCTATGGCCGGAGAGTGCAATTCCTAACAAACAGAGAAAATTGATTAATATACTCCTTACAGCTGCGAAAAACAGCATTGCCAAAAAATGGAAAGATAAATGCCCTCCGACAATTAATCTATGGTTATCTAAAGTTTGGGAATATTTTATGTTTGAAACTGTTTCAATCTTTAATACAAATGATCAAAATGAATGTGAACTGCTAAACCCAACCGGTAAATGGTATCCAATTGTTGATAAGTTAACCTTTGAATCTTTTGATTGGGAATCTATCAGTAAAGCGAAATATTCGTTGTTATTATTAAGTTAGCTCACTTCTACTAATGTATGTTTAGAGATGCTGGAAACTTGTACACTGTTTGACTTATTCAGGTTTTAATTGCTACACTGACGCTTGAGAACCTGTATGTATTTGATATGTTTTTTTGTTAATACCTAATAAAATATTATGGTTAAAAAAAAACTGGTTTAACCAGCACAAGGGTGAATGGTCCGAAACTAAGGGTGAATTCCGAAACTGTCAGTACTCAATTCTTCTCAGCTAGGGCTGAAATCCAACTGTCAGTATTCAACTCAGTCAAGGCAGAAATCTGACTGAATGACTCCTCAGCATGCAGCTCTCTCCAGACTTTCTCTGCTCAGCTCATGCTAAGCAATCAGATTGCTTGGAGCAGCCTGTCACTCAAAGCCCTCTAGCTTCTGTGAAGAATTAATCCTTCACAATCCTTTATCTGTTTACACAACATTTCCAAGCTTTTAAAAGTGGAGTTCATCACAACTGCCAAGCATGTGTGGGCGGGGCCCTGTTCAGATTGGGACCATGGTACACAGAGTCTGTGGCTCCCATCTGAACAGGGGCCTGATCTGAGATGGTCCCAGGGAGCCACTATTTGCCCATATTGGGAGAAACTACATGTACAGTCCTGGTGACTACATCTATTTCTGAAACAGGGCAAACAGAGCTCCCTGGAGTTATTCCAGAAACACCAAGCAGCCTTTCTCCATCATAAAGAGAGACGTCCTCCAATTTAAATAGCTCTTCGTCTAACAGAAGGAATAACTGAGGAATAACTGAGACCCAACACAAAGTCCTAGCAAACCACACATATATGGCACACAAAGTCCTAGGAAACCACACATATACGGCACACATATATGGCACACTATATATGGCACATATGGCAACTGGTAGAACAAGGAGCAAAATAGGGATGGAGTGGATGATATCCTGCCAACATCACAATATCATTTCTGGCATAAACCCAGCTGGTGATGTGTAAAGCACACACTCTGCATTGGAAGTGGGGTTTAGGATTGGTGTTCTTAGAACCCGGGGCCAGCCCTCAGAAACCATCCTATGTCCTTGACAGCAACAGCCACATTGAGTCTGTGAACATCTGAAAGGAGGACAACCTCCTCACCTCCTCCAGTAGCCCATTCTGCAGGGCAGCTTTAACTATGGAAAACATAGAGTCTCTTGGGAACAAATCGAGAACTAATAACAGATGCAAGGGACAGTATGCTAAGACAAGCCACTCCCTCATATATATGGGTCCCAGGACACTAAGATAAGAGAAGACAAGACACGAAATAGTGCTTGCTTACACACAGTTGAAATGTACTTACACCCCTATCCCCTGATAACAAATAGGGTGCTGTGTTTTGTGTAAACTGAAGTCTCCTACATTCAATAAGGGCAGCCCACACTGAGGCCTTTCAGTTATCCAGTGACAAGGTTAAAGGCATGGAGCAGAATGACCAGGTGAACTGAGTTTAAGAGGGGCAGAGCTGACAAATCAGATGGCACTGATGAAAGCACAGTTGGCCACAACACCAGCCCACTTCTCTTTAAAGTCCTATATAGTCAGGGACCTACTTCAGGGACTGCCTTTCCCCATATGTTCCCCAGAGAGCACTAAGATCGGGTCCCAAAACTGTCTGGCCCTTCCAGACCCTAAAGAAGCCAGACTAGCTGTGACGAGGGCCAGGGCCTTTTCTGTGGCAGCCCCGTACTGGTGGAATGAGCTCCCGGATGACACCAGGGCCCTGCAGGGCCTTTTACAGTTTTGCAGGGCCTGTAAAATGGAGCTCTTCCACCAGACTTTCGATTAGGGTGCCGCTTCCCAATACTGTGACCCTGGCCCCAATATCAGTACCAACTTAATAACTAACAAGAGCCTGGCAAGAACCCAGACTATGGTAGTAGTTAACTATCTGGATGTCAAAAGAATGCCACCATCACTTATTAACATCTATGATTTTGTATATTGTGGTTTTATTTCAAGCTTGTGTTTTAACATATCTCATTGTTTTATTATATATTAGGAGCGAAGCCCATTGTATAAAAGCAATATGAGCTCTAGAAAGAGCCCCCCCCCCCAAGCAGGCATGTGGAGCAGCCTCTGCCTCCAGGTGGTCTCTGCCTCCTTCGAGCAAGCCGCAGCAAAGAGGCGAGCGGCATTCCCCGGCATGTATTCTGGTGCCCCTCCACATTGTTAAGAGAGCCGCCGCCACCTCTCACTCTCCGGCCACACGTTCCTGGGCACACGTTGGCGGCCACTGATCTTCTGCCACTCCAGTGAGGCCTGCTCGGGCCAGCCTACACACTCAGAGACTTTGTCTCTCTGGGCTGAGCGGGGTTGGCTCCCGCCCGCCACCTTGGAGAGACCTCACACAACACTGAGGCCGAGATGCTGGCCGCCCCTTCTGTGGGGGGGACTCCAGCAACACAGCCATTGAATTGGCACACCATTGGAGTGACAGGTCAGCGAACCAAATGCCATGGGAGCGTGTGAAACATTCCCCCCAAAACAGAATATATATATTCTGTAAGCCGCCCTAAGCCTGCCTTGGCAGGGAGGGCGGGATACAAATTAAACAAACAAACAAATGAACAAATAAGAAGACTGGGTCCATACTTGGTCTGCAGAGGACTTGGTCTGCACACACTTGGTCTGCAGAGGACAGTTCCACTCAGTCCACAATAAGTAGCCTCCAGAATAAAGTTTTATTCCAGTGGCACCTTTAAGACCAACAAAGTTTTATTCTGGGTATAAACTTTCGTCGGCATTCAAAGAAGTGTGCATTCACACGAAAGCTTATACCCAAAATAAAACTTTGTTGGTCTTAAAGGTGCCTCTGGAATAAAACTTTGTTCTGCTGCTTCAGACCAACATGGCTACCCACCTGAATCTATCCTCCAGAATATCAGCTTACCTAACCAACTTCACCTCCTTCTGAAATGGATTCAACTTCAGCCTTAGCCTCAAGTGACTGGTTTAGAACTACCAGCATAGCATCTGGGGGATTAGGTAAGGAAATATTGACATGGGTGTCCTCAGCATATTCATGACACTGGACCCCAAAGCAGTCTCTATCAGAGGTCTGATATAAATATGGAGACAGAACTGATC